TAAGACTGTGACCTTCTGCTGTGTGCGTAGCTTCCATGAAAACACATGTACTCAAAATCACTTGACGAATCGCTTGCAAGGTACTCTTGCTCTCACCCAACATGTAGCAAAGCAACTTCGTTCTGGATCCGCTTGTAGGCTTTGTCAATAGATCTGGAGGACAGAATTTGGTACTGATCGCACCTGTCACGAACTCACCGGCTTTAAGCTTTTCTTGGATCCACAGGTAGGCTATCTCCACACGTCGAAGACGAGATAAACCTTGTCTCGAACTGACAGCTCTACACGATGAGGAGTCTACACGATGCTCCAAGTGAACTTCACATCCACAAAGACGTTCTAGAACTCTCTTCAAGAAGATTCCTTCTTGCACAGCTGCCAAGGACCCATGTAATTCAGATTCGCAAGAACTCAGAGTTACACTCTTCTGCCTTCTGTTCGAAGCATGAGTCAGATTGCCATTCAAGAAGATTGTCATTGCCGACATACTCTTCTTGTCTCGCTCACCAGCCCAGCTGGCGTCAGATATGGCTTCGAGAAGGTGTCCTTCTCCAAAGGCATTGTCCTTGCTCTCACGGACTTTGGAATCCAAACCTCTGCACTTCTGCTGCAGAGTTCTTCCTGGCCTACATGGTGTCAGCTTGATGCCTTGATTGGGATGTGCTTTCAAAAACGTCACAAGGTGTCTGAGCAGCGACCAATCGGACTCAGTTGGACATGTGCAAAATCCACTTAGCTGTGTGATCGTGTACAAGCTTTCTGGACGGTCTTGACCCAAGTATAGGAGAATGCCTATGCAAGTCCTATACAATGCATGACGTTCAGGATCTAGAGGCTTGCTGTCAATCTTGCTGTGATTCACGTTCATCGGACACGGAGTCGTTTTGCCGGATGCCTTCTGCAGGCCAAGCAACTCAACAAGCTTGTCTACGTGCTTTGAGTCTTGACTCACCACAATTCCATCTCCCGTGCCAACGAACTTTCTCTTGAGAAAATGACATTCACCACCTTCAACCGTGCAAGGTCCTTCCAACGAGAACTTCAAGCCGCTATCTGTCAGCTTCTTCTTCAAGCGATCGACACGAGGAGTTTCAGCAATCACTTCAAAGTCATCGACATGAGTACTAACGCCAATACTCTTGGGTTCAATGAACAAAGCTGGAGCAGCTTCGTAGCTCTCCAAGTTGTCAGATTTGAGAATTCCGGCCAACTTGTCGTAGAAGTCTCGAGCACCAGCTCGTTGACCTGGCAAGTTGAACTTGAGCTCAAAGATCAATCCTCCATGACGAATGAACGTAGGCCTTCGTTGAGGGACAGTCAAGTAGGCATCCTTGATGTCACCCGTGTACAAGCAAAGACGAGAACTTGAACACACAAGTCCAGCGAAAACCTTTTGGAGACACGCTAAAGATCCAGGCGAATACAAGTTTTCCATGAGAGGGCCAATGAACTTGAATTCCTTGGCCACAAGACGTGACCTCCTAACCCAACTCCAAGACTTGCCATCTTCACTCGGACGGAACCGCCAATCTCGTACATACTTCGACTGCAAGTTAGTCATGCCTTCAAGATTCTCATCACCAGACATGGGCCTAAGAACTCCCATCTTGATCAAGCGGTTCAACTCCACTCGATCCATTGCTTCGTCCAGCTTCCTTAGCGGATCTGGATGGAGAACAGGAGGCCCTTCTTCATACTTGCGGTTCGCCCAACTCTTCACGAACGGCAAATCTTCTTGGGAATCATGAGATACATGCTCTTCATCACCTTCACCAACAGCCCAATCAACGTCAAATCCAGCTAGAGGATCTTCATCAGCTTCCATGTAATTAGCCTTCGTTGTCATCATGCTCTGTAGGCATTTCCTCCTCTAAGAAAATTGCACTCACATGACCACTTGCGGGATGGCCTTCAACATCCATCAGGAGCTCTTCGGAATGATAGCTTCCATTCATGCTTTCGCCAGGTAAGCTAACACTCATAGTGTCACTTCCTACTCCCCCTTCAATTGGTGGTCCTTCATTCGAAGTTGGAGCAACTGCTTCCGGACTTGGTGGGTCTGAAGCAGCTTCATCAATAGGCGCAGGAGGCGCTTCGACATTCTCAGGAAGGACAGGAAGTCTGGAACCTGTCAAAGCCTTTCTCTTACGAGAAGGAAGGACATCAAGAAGAGGATCCCATGGAACTCCTTTCATTGTCTTCAACGCTTGTCGAGAATTTACCAGGTGCAAGTCTGACACTTCGTGCATGATGAATCCCTTCAGCATCACCGATGATGTTAAGATCGCCTAGGCTTGTTCTGCAAAGCCATACGCAAGGCTTCCAACACTCGCCGCGAACCTTTGACTTTGGAAGGTACTGCGCGTACACATGTGCTCCGAACGGCAACAGCTTCGACTTGTAGCTACGTCCATGGACCAGCTCGAACGATGTGCAACCGTCCTTTAGAACTGAGAATCGAGATACCAGGAAGGCTGCACGACGGTGGGCCCAAGCTAAAAGTGGATCTTCACTTTCAACCTTGTGTCCTGTATGTTGGAGAATGGTCTGCAGCAAGCAATTGCCCAAAGTGCGTACTGTATGAATATACCTTTCACTGCCATTTGCACGATGCGTTGCATCGCCTGGCGGTATTGGCTCTTCTTCTGTGGCTAAGCCCATCTTCAATCTAGCAGCTACAACCGCAGCAGCAATCTGTTTCATTGCTGGCTCTGTATCATACCTGAGGCCAATACGTTGGTAGCCAAGAGAATTCATCAAACGAACCACATCTTCAACACAGTACTTCAAGCTTCTATTGCCTTTCCCATCGATGGCCGTGGCCTGTACAAACTTGGTCTGGGAGTCTACCATGATCAAATGGGTAGCGAGGGGATTGTCTTGTGTAGCAGTAAACATATAGTCCATGCTCACAACAGGAAATTCACGATGAGGCTCTGCGTCATCATAGTTATCTTCTCTCGAACGGGAGGCGATACACGCCTCACACCATGGTGCCTTCGGGCTGTGCGTGGTCTCGTGACTTAAGACTAGCTCCTCAGATGGTCGCTCAGGAAGTGCATCTACAAGAGGTTCTCGAGCATATTCAGCTTTTACAACCTCTGAAGCTTCTACTGCTACCTTCAACTTTGCAAGGGCCACTTCTCTCTTCAACCGATTCCACACAGTCGCCTTTGACCCGTTCTTCGAGATACCTAAGAAGCGGCACGCCAAACGAAGTTCTCTCAACGCGCTTTCCTGAGTCAATCTCACATCATTGACCATGATCACTTCTTGTTCAGGACCATCAACTTCCACAGCATAGGGACCAAGCATAGGACCTTCAGCTCTCTCTTCATCTTCATGTCTCTCAGCAACCATCTCTCCTTCTTCTCTTTCAGCACCGCCATCATCAATATCACGTAGGGGATTGATACCAGGAACCCATGCACGATCATCAGGTCTGACATCTCCCAGCTGAGAAGGCTCAATAGGGTCTTTCGTAAGAATTGTTAGAAGCTTTCTAGCGGGGGCATCGAGATCCAAAGTACGGTTTGGTTCCCAATATTCTCCGCATTCAACAACTTCATACTCTCGACCTCTCTTCCAAATGAGCGTAGAGCGATGGGGCCACTCATCAGGATTGAAGCGTGCTGAAGGATCAACAGTCGTGGACATGTTGTATGCCAAATGAACTGGTAACATGGATGTACCCAAGCTCCATCCAGGAGATTCGGCATGCTCTGCCATCTCCTCATCAATCACAACAACCATGCGAATAGCTTCCTACGCCAAGAAACTTTCAGCTCGGGCTCCTCCTTCAACGGAGGCATCACCTAGCCGCTGATCAGCAGCGGAGGGTTCACCTAGCCGCTGATCAGCGTCTTCGCCATCTCCTTGTGCCACCATTTCTTCCAGTCGCGAAATTCTCATATGCGTAGCTAAGCTGTTCCTGCTCCAATGGACTGGAAACCAAGCTTCACCCTTTTGCATGTACCACGAATCATATTCATCACAGACAGGAACCCAGCCACGCTTCATGAGCTTACCTAAGCGAAACAAGGGTTGTTGAACATTTCCAAGAACAACGGAATCCTTAAAGGAAATAACACTGTCTTCATCTGGGGTGTCGATTTCGAAGTTCACGAACACTCTTGACTCTCCGCCTTCGATCTTATTCCCTTGAGCGTCAAGGAGAATACTCTTGCTAACAGAGGAGTCTTTGTGACCAACAGCTTGATATGAAAGAGGAAGGACAGTGCAATCAGCTCCACTGTCCAAGATGACCTCCGCTCTGTCCGGTTCGCTGGGAACTTCTTCGATCACCGCCCGGCAGTACAGCCGAGAAGTGAGTTCTTCGTCACAACTGCAATCACTGTCAAAGTCACTTGCTTCTTCAATGCTCTCCATGTCGTACCACAAACTGCTGGTGCTACGAAGCTCATCTAGACTGCACTCGCTACAATCATCTTCTGCACAAGCTCCCTCACTAACGTGTCCATCTGGATCGTCCCACATGTTCGCATGCGCTCGAGTGATCACCACGCAAAGACTCATCACGCGCAAACACATCAAAGTCATAGGCGTCATCACTCTCCACATCAGGCGCAGGGGACTCATTGTGAGGAGCATCCTCATGCGCATGAGCTTCACCACCTACTTCACTCAGACGGCAAACCTCGTACTCGCCATCTTCGCGCCAGTAGTCATCAGCATCTTCAGTCAAGTCGAACTCGTAGATTCGGCGAACCTGGGATTTAGCAGAGGCTGCAGTTGTGCTAGAAGCTGAGGGGATGGTTCGGGTAGTGGAAGCAGCAACGCTGGATTGATCACCATCTTGTACCTGTTGAACTCTACGAGGCTGACGGCAACATGACCCATCTTACCACAGTTCCAGCACTCTCGTGGGCCACCTTTACCGCCACCTTGTCCTTTTCCTTTTCCACACCCTTGACCATTCCATGATCCACCTTTGCCTTTGTCGTTCTTTCCTTTTCCTTTATCACCTTTCTTCCCTTTTCCTTTTCCTTTTCCTTTGAGTCCAGCCTCCCTTTCCTTTCTCCCCCTTCCTTCCTTTCTCATTTCCTTTTCCTTTTCCTTTGGGAGTCCAGCCTCCCTTTCCTTTCTCCCCCTTCCTTCCTTTCTCCTTTCCTTTTCCTTTGCCCTTGCCTTTCCACTCTACATGATCCGCATCCATAGGAGTGGGCTCATCTGCTCCGATGGCTTTCAACACACGCTCTGTACTCCAGCTCGAAGAAGTAGTTCAAAGGCAAGCGTAGTCTCTCTCAACTTCTCGTACGTAGTGGTTTCAGAGACCTGCAATTGAAGATATCGACGAATGTCTTCAGGGAGTCCAGCTAATAGCGTAGAAATCTTGAGGTCATCGCTGTACTTTTGGTCGCTAACCCGCTCGTACTCAGCAATCAATCTTTCAAAGGTTAGGGTCCATTCGAGAAGCGATGTACCATCTTTGTACGGAGGCTTCCCGGAGGATACTTGATCAACGCCTAAGCTAACGCTAGGGATCTTGGTCGCGATGCAGGCTGAAGTTCATCGTGCAGGCGACGCCAGACTCTAAAGCCTCATCCAGAAGCCTCAGACTTCGGGAGCTTAAGGCTTCGTCAGATGTGTCGCCAAAATAGCGTACAACCTCTCACTACGGCTCTTCCTTGGAGGAGTGTAATCTGACACAGCGGACCATGTCTCTGCTGTCTCGCATTTCTCAAAGTCGTCACGATACGAGGAGCGCTGCACAACCATGAACGCCTTGAACTGGAAAGACCAGTCAGGCCATCCTGAGATCTCTTCCTCAAGGTTCTTTGCCGAGAAGATTTCAGGAGACTTGATAAACTTTGACTCACGCCATGAAGAAGTAGAACTGGATCCCGTAGCTGTAGCAAGGGCTGAAGCCGCACTAGCCAGATTATGAAGAACAAGGGCATCTAAGACTGCAGGGGCTACACCACCTGCTGTTGGACTTCCAGTTGGGCTCTGTCCAGGCTGAGACATTACGCTACAATCTTCGCAGCCGGCTCAAGGCTCCTTCAAGGCTCACCTTCGCTCAGCGAACGTGTAAGGCACAATCAAGAACTGGCCGCCACTAGCAAACTTTACGTACAGCACCGGGAACTTGCAACCGCGCTGGCAGCACAGCGTGGGCGAGGGCTATTCTGCTGTAGCAGGCTGGGAACAACTAACCAGGGGCAGCGATCTACCTTCCTAGACAGCACTAGGAGGGGCCCAGCCTCTCCAGGAGCTCCGGTATCCAAAGGATGAACCTTTACAGCTCCGCTACCATAAAAACCCAAACCCAAAACAAAGTCAGGTTTCTTTTGCAACTCACATTGAGCCTTGGTGTAGCGACGCAGTCTCAGCTAGCTGGAAAACAACAAAAGTTGGGGACCAACAATCCACATGACATACATCCTTTACATGCCAAAGTGGATTCTCTCAAATGTTGTTAGATAAGCTGAAGCTCATCGGCAACTTCACCCTGGACAACGCTGCTTTGGGCAATGTCAGCTGCTTCATCAACTGTGCCCTCAACGGTCTCCAAAACCCCATGTCGACCAGTTTGACTTTCCTTTTGTCTTACCTTTTCCTTTGCCTTTTCCTTTTCCTTTGTAATGTCCTTGCGCTTGGTCAATTTCCATAGGCGTTGGTTCATCTTGTCTGTTACCTTGGGTTGCTCCAACTTCTCTTAACACGCTTTCACTACTCCACGCTTTTGTTGTCTTTTCATACAGCAGCGTGGTCTCCTTTACCCTTCTGTAGGTGCTTGTATCTTGCAACGTAAGTTGTAGATGCTGCCGCAGCTGTGGAGGTGAACACCGAATCAATGTACCCATCAGAAGCGATTTGGGGTAATCCTCACCAGTAACTTGACTGTATTGATGAACAACTTCTTCCAGGGCCAATATGCACTCCATCACAGACTTGTCCTTGGGAAACGCAGGGTATGCGGCGAGTACCTGGGCCAAAGCCATTCCTCTCTGTCGAGACAGCGGCCTGTACTCAGCACACAATCTCTGCCACACCAAGAAACTTCCCACAACTTTTGCCTCACGCGCACTGCTCCAAACCACCTAGGGTACACAGAATCCTTGTCTTTGACAAAGGTTCCTTGTGTCTTGGCAAACTTCACCTCGAACTTGTCCATGTTCTTCTTTTTTGATTTCTCTCCAAGGTTTTTGTACTCACTTTTCTTTCCTTTGTTCTCTTTCGTCTTTGCTTTGTTTCCTTTTCCACTTTCTTCCTTCTTGCCTTTGTTGCCGTAGAGGTCGCTGGTGTCCTTCCGGTCGATCGTCTTGTTCAGGTAGTTCTTCTCTCCTTCCTTGCCGTAGAGGTCGCTGGTGTCCTTCCGGTCGATCGTCTTGAGACCTCACCTTATTCTTTTCTCCAAGAACCCATGCCGGGTGAAGGCGGTGTCGCTGGAGCCATCTCTGGCTCAGGTGGTCTTGCCACCTTTGGCATTGCCTTTGACTTGGCTGGTGCTTTGGCTGGTGCGGCTCTCCACCTTGGTCCCCACTCTTCATCGTCGCTAATCTCCATAACGACGTCACGCCTCCCTTGGCTTTCCTTTCCTTCGGTCTTTCCTTCTCCTTTCTTACCTTTGTCTTGCCGCTTTCCTTTTCCTTCATCTTCTTCTTGGCTATCCTTTCCTTTGGGCTTTCCTTTTCCTTTCTTGCCTCTGTCTTGTCGCCTACCTTTCTTTCCGTGGCCTTTGTCTTTTCCTTTCTTTCCTTTCTTTCCTTGGTCTCTGTCTTGTCCTTTCTTTCCTTGGTCTCTATCTTTTCCTTTCTTTCCTTGGTCTTTGTCTTTTGCTGTCTTTCCTGATCTCTTGTCTTCTCCTTTGGGATCTCCGAATCTCCTGTGATGGTACCTTTTCCTGCTTGCTCCTCTTCTCTCTCTTCTTCCTCACCTCCTTTTCCATATCTTCCTTCTCTTCTTCTTCGGTAGATCCGGAGGTCGCCGATGTCCCTTTTGTCATCCTGCATCCGCGTTTCAACTTCTGGTGCGTGTCGAAGTTCTGCTGACTTCCTTCTCTTGGCTGCTTTTGACTTTGGATCTGACCCTGCAGTTTTTGGGTCTGGCGCTGCAGCCTTTGGGTCTGACCCTGCAGACTTTGGTTCTGGTCCTGCAGCCTTTGGTTCTGGCTCTGCAGCCTTTTCCTTTGGCGCCACAGCTTCAGCTGTTGCCTTGGCCACGGCAGACGTAGGCTGCCAGCCTTTGAAGCCTTGCCGTCTCTCCCATTTGGTAGAGCTCGAAGTTTCTTTGCCTTTCCTCCAAAGACTCTCCAGCCTTGGGTGTAGGTGGAGGTATGGGGTTCTTGATATCGAGCTTGGGCCTTGCTGTGGCTTTGCTTCTGCTTTAACCTCTGGCCTTGCCTTTGAAGTTGGCTTAGGTCTTGGCTTTGGCTGGGGCTTTGCCAGTTGGCCTTTGGGAGGATCTGCGCCTTTGCCTTGGGCTTGTAGGTTGGCTTGGTGCGGATGCGGTCCATGATGGCGAGGAGCTTCCTGGACTTCCTTCTTTTCTTCTCCTTCTTTTCTTTTCGTCGTTTCCTTGTTTCCTCCTTTTCTTCTTTTCTCTTCCTTCTTTGCCTCCTTTCGAATTCTTCCATAGACTCATCTTCTTCTTCTGGTACGTCTTGGTCTCGTAGTTCTGGTAGACGACTTTCTCTTTCGCCTGACAGGAGGTCTTGCTGGGGTTCTTCTGGAGGGTAGTCATCTTCGATTTGTAGGTCAAGTTCAGGA